ATCAGCCCCAGCTTCCCTTGGCTTTAATTGCCCCAGATTATGACAACGAATTAACTGCACCTTCGGTTTTTTTACTTTAACGTTAAAAATATTTTGAAAGACACGTTAAGATTTTAAATATTCAATAGCAATCAAAGATGTGCAAAATTAGAAAAAAAACTTTGTTTTTATTTTCAACCAACAAAAGTAAGGGACATTATATCCAAAGCAGTAGCCTCGAAGCTGGTGGTACCATAATGAAACTTGGGGTGCTTGCCATATAATCCTTCGAAAAGCAAAGCAAAATCCACAAGTTTTGTTTTGTTTTGTTTTTTTAGATAATTTGAACCTACCAATCCTATTTCTGGAAATTGTCCTAAAGAAATCATTCAAAAGATGCAAAAAGCTACATAGATGAAGCTTCAAGCATCGACTTCTATAGCAAAAGCTGGAAACATAGAAATGTTCCACAGAAGAAAATGGCTTAATAAGTTATAGTACAGCAACATGTTGAAATATTACTCAGCCTTAAAATCATTACGAAGACTGGAGAAATTTGGAAAAAAGAACCTAAAGCCCCTGTGTTTGTTAGGGTTACAAATGTTAAATGTATGTGTGCCTACTGGCAAGAAAGTAATGTGCAAAATGAATTTAATCTTTAAGAAAGAAATAACATATGCCAAAATATTAATAACAATGATCTCTGACTGAAAGGATTATAGGTGATTTTTATTTTCCTCTTCAATGTTCTCTATAGTTTCTAAATTTTCCATTAAAAAAAAGGCGTGTGTTTTGTTTGGGGGACAGAGCGCAATGGATTCTGTAGGAGTGAGCCTCTCCTGCCCAGAAAAATGATCGATGATGATGCATATTACGGGTTAGCATTTACTTTAATACTGTTTTTACAATAAAAGTAGTACTACTTCTTTTTAAGATCTGTTTATTTATTTGAGAGAGAGCGAGCACAAACGGGAGGGGCAAAGGGAGAGAGAGAATCTCAAGCAGGCTCCACGCAGAGTGCAGAGCCCGACGCAGGGCTCGATCCCATGACCATGAGATCACGACCTGAGCTGAACCAAGCGCTGGATGCTTAACCGACTGCACCACCCAGGTGCCCCAAAAAGTAAGCACTACTTTTTTTTTAAAAAGTGAAGGGATGGTATACCCAGCAGCTGACTGCTTCTCGTGACATCTGTGGCTACCACTCTGGTCTTCATCCCTCGCTTGGATTACGGAAGCCATAGCTTCTACTTGGGCTTCCATCTGCCCCCTTTGCCTCTTCTCAGCACAGGAACCAGATCGCTGATTTGAAGACCCATGTCATGTACCGACTTCCCTGCGCGGCACCCTGCCGTTGGTTCCCCATTTTACCCAGTGACAGTGCCTGATCTGTTGCCCCACCCCCATGTCTGATGGCTCCACCCTCCCTCATTCCAGCCACCCTGCCTGGGACCCTTCCTCTAAGAGGCTGGATGTACTCACTCCTTAGGGCCTCTGCATCCCCTCTGCCAGGAACAGGCTCCCCCCACTTATCCCCCCTCCTCCGGCCCCCCACCTCCTTCAAGTTCTCTGCCCAGATGCTACTTTGTCGATTAGGTCGACCTTGACCACCATGTGATGCCTCATCCTCTACCGCACCCCCCCTGCTCTCCAGATCCGCCTTACCCTGCTAGGTTTTCCTGTTTTCCATCACATGTATCCCTTTCCACCACATTGTATTATTTATTGTTTATTGTTCTTTTTCTGTATTCCCACATTCGAGTGTAACCTCCATACGGGCAGGGACTTTTGCTCTGCTCTGTTCATTGATAGACCTAATAGGTACCTGGCATATAGGTTCTTAGTATATACTTGCTGAATGAAATTGTTACAGATGATTTGAATAAGATGAAGGTGGGTTGGGAGCTCCATTAAGAAGGCAAAGAGCGGGGCACCTAGGTGGTTCAGTCGGTTAAGCGTCTGCCTTCCACTCAGGTCGTGATCCTGGGGTCCTGGGATGGAGTCCCACTTTGGGGTCCCTGCTCAGCGGGGAGCCTGCTTCTCCTTCTGCCCCTCTTCTCCCCTCCCCCACAAGCCCCCCGCTCGTGTGTGCTCTCTCTCTAATAAATAAATTAAAAAAAAAAAAGGTGACAAAGAGCAAACTGAGGCCCAGGCTGGGTTGAGGAAACTAATAAACCCTCCAAAGTTTAGATCCAGAGGCTTTGGGACTTGGTACATTTAAGTCTGGTCTAGGTGGACACTGCAGCATCCCAAAGCTAGATGCAGGGCTGGAGTGGGGATGGCGGGTAATTCCCAGACTGTACCTCCCAGTTGGGAGGAGAAGAGCTGCTACCATTCTCCCACGGTTTGTCTGCGAGTGGCTGGCCACTCTGGGCGCCAGGGGGCTGGGGCTGGAGCCGACCCAGTGTGTCTGTCCGTGGCACTCACCAACCAGAGCAGACCTACCTCTCCCTCACGGGGCAGATGCCAGAAGGTGCCATCCTCAGCGGCTCACAAAAAGGACCAGGGCCTTACTGCACAGATCTCCTCGTTGTAAAAAAACAGGTGGGCATGAAAATCTTGAAATTTGGAAGCTTTGTTAATTTGGTCAAAGGACAGTGCTTTTCTTTGCCCTCCCAAGAAGAAATGCATCCCAAATCAGCTGCTGGGTTTGAATGAACAGAACAGAGGCAGGCAGGAAAGGGAGGAGGGGGATATAAACAATGTGTTATTTTACTGGAGCCAGGTTTATTAAGGAACCTTGGTCAGGAATCATACCCCGAGACTTAGATGGTGATTAATTGATGTTCGGTAAAAGAGTGACAATTTCAGTTGCATCTCTTCTCAGTTAAAGCCATCAATGGCTTTGGGATTCTCTGTACACTTTAACCGAAAGCACTCATGCACTTCTTTCCTACGAATATTTTTGCTGGTCATTGCTTCTCCCTGTCCAGCACAGGTTCATGGCTGACGTGTTTGTTTGCTCGTTTTTGCAGGAACAGTGCCCCGTGGTGATATGGTGAAGTGACATCCATTTGGGTGGATCCCAAAAACTATCTTGCCTTTTCTTGCCCCCCTTAACCGGCAATGTGTCCAGAATCTGACACCTCTCATGACATCTATGGTTGTTGTTCTGGCCCAGGTCATCTCTTGCCTGGTCACTGGCAACGGCCAGAGCTGGCCTTCCGTCTCCCAATCAGACCCCTGCGCCCCTGTCAACTCTCAACACAGCACCCAGAGTGCCCCCCACCCCAGCACAGCAGACCTTCAGAGCGAGGCTTGCTTAATCGTACCCATCAGCGGTTGTCCTATCAGTGGTTCAGCCTCCTGGGATAGGATTCAAGCGTGTCCAGAAATACCTCCGGAGATCTGATCTTCCGCATAAATCGTTCAGGAGCGATGCCGCTTCCTCCACGGTGTGAAGGTAGAGGAACACAGAGGGGCGTCAGAGAGGGCCGCCAGACGCTGCCCTGCTCGGGAAGGGAAAATGTCACACCACCCGTGCAGACGAAAAACCAAACACCCAATTTTATTTTTACAACGTGAGTTACTGTCTTGTGTGTGAGTGAGTCACCAAAAGGAGGCTCCGCTTGGGTTTCGCCAACTCCTCCGCAGTGGCCTCTGACCTTGGCTGGGTTTGGGTTGGTTCTGGCTCTGGGCAAGGGTGAACGGGCTCCAAACCTTGCACTTGATGGTAGTGTGTTTCGCCGTGCACTGTGGAAACGGATGTTCCTGCTTGCTTTGCAGAATGACTCCCAACGAAGGCTGAAGTCGAATCATCTAGTTTTCTTTGCCCCCGTTTAAAAGGTAGGAAAGTAGATCCTCTTACCATATAAAAGGCTCGTCTAAGATACACCTCAAACTACAGGAAACTGTGCGCCCTTTTATATCAACTTATTAAAAAACCGTGTAAAGAGAAACTTTTTTTGCCCCTTGGGGCAGCATGGCTTTATTTGACACTAGAAACCCACTGGACATGGTGGTAAAGTGCATGGACAAAAGCGAAACTTAGTTCCTGGAGTGCGTCCTTTTGTAATGCATGCCTGGGACAGTGATCGGTCACTAGACTTTAAGGTTTTTCATGGTCATGGAAACCTCAAGGCTTGTCTACATTTCTTTGCTTGTGGAATATTTTCTGCAGGATCTCTGGAGCGACTGCTGGCCCACAGTCAAGTTTACCTGCATCTCTTCATCAGGACTGCCCTGGCTTACCGGCTGGTGGCTGGATCCCCAGGTGGTTTCAGGGCAAGGACTGTTGTGTTAAAACCACCTGCCATCTGTTGGTGAAAATTTTGGGGCTTCTAAATGATGAGTCACTTATTTCTCCTGCTGTTCCTTCTGCTGCCAGGACTAATTTACCTCTTAGACCGTATCAGGGGAGATGCTGGGAAAACTAGTCTTGAAGCTTTGTCCTATGCAAAGTTCACGTCCTTAATGACCACTATTCCTGGTGAAGTCACTAGAAAGGTGGGGGAGGACTCGCCTTTGCATTTCCACAGGGCCGGCGAGGAGACAGCAAGAGCCTATCTGCTCCTCACTCCAGGGTCCTTCGCAGGTAAACCTACAGCCACCCACTTCGGTTGGGTTGGAGTTGAGAGTCCCGAGGTGGTTCCACATTTCCTTGCCAGTGGTCCCTTAGTGGGACGCCAGTGCCGGCCACCCGTGTGTGATACAGGGTAGGTCCTCAGTGACCACTGGTTCGATGAATGAGTGAGGTCTGTGACTACAAAGTGGTCACCCAAGGCCACCCATGAGACCAGGGTGCCCACATGACCATGCCACCTACAGAGTCATCCCTCTGACAGTCTGATAGAGGCCACTCTTGCCAACCTCCAAAGGAGAGTACTCAGAATGATTTTTAGGAGAAATTCAGGGGACTCTTGCCACACAGAGCTTGGTGCTATCCTGTAACCTAAAAGCAAGAGCTATGGGAAGGTGGGAAGGGTGGGTAGCTGGGGTGCCTGGGGACGAGGACTTGGACTTCACAGCAGAGTCCAGTGCTTTCCCAAAAAGGTGAGGTTGGTGAGCCCCTCTGTCCGCCAGAGCACCGTGGCCGGAGTCCTGCACTAAAATAGAAGCCACGCTTCTCCACTGACTCGGTTTCACACAAATCAATTTTTATTGTGTCATCATCCTTTTGTTCCCAAAGAAGTTTATTAGGGTGGCTCAAATCTAGCTTTATTCACATGTCCTAAGACACCCTAAAATATTTCTATGTTTCATGCCTTCCACTTTTTTTGCCACCCCCAAATTCCAAGCTAAATTGCAGCAGCAAAACCCTAAGTGCAGAAGATTCTAGCTCCCTCGAGCATGCTCCGTTTCACTGAAGTTTTCTACAGATTTCCTGCCTGGAGAAATTACCGAGCCCCAGGTGGGTGGGATTTTATTCTTACCATAGAGTAGGTGTGCTTTTGTGGGAGGATCTTCCCCCAGCCTCCTAGATCAGAGGCGGATATGCACCTGAGTCCTGGGTGGGAGGTAAACGCTTGTACTGAGAGTACCGGGCTCGACCCCCCAGTCCCCTCCATCATGGTCGCTGGTTGGGAGAGGTGGCCAGCTGGGTGGGCCTGCCCGAGGTGCTGCAAGCCCCAGCTGACCTTTGCAACCAAGCTGGTATTAGGAAATTGGACCACACATTCTGAAAGAACCCACTCTCGAGAGATCTGGGTGGTGTGGGATGCAGGAAGGACAAGGTGAGCCTCCTTTAGAGGAAATGATGTTGGCGTTAATCTCCATGGCTGAGTATCAAGTTGCCGGAAGTAACATTTCCAGCTGCCTTCCTTATCTACGTACAAGACGCACTTGCTGCTGAGGCTGCCACGCTGATAGGCTTCTAGAACCCCTGCCTTCTCTGTGTACCCAGGGGCAGGGAGAGCGCATCCATACTCAGTGCTTCGTGATGGCTGAGCTCTTGAGGGACCAGCTTCCCTACTCTGAATGGTGATTTGGCTACAAAGAGGATCCTGAGGAGAGCTGGAAGCCTTGCTGAACTCCCGATACAAGAGAACTTTGGCAAACTGTCCACGTCACCACTTCAGAGTTGGAAAGCCAAGACCCTGTGGTCTTCAACACAGCTACGGGCCAAGGCATTCAATCAGACAGACACGTGGGCACATGGTCAGCTGAGTGACGCCCAGTGGAGGCACCCTTGTCCTCCCGGAGGTTCCGACATCACAGAACAGGGGCACCGCTGTCCCCGCTCCAGGGAGTCTCTGTTGGAAGGAGGCGAGACACTGAAACCACGTCTCCATACCCAGATAGGCCAAGGGTGCCTTTGGTGCAAACTAGTATAGACTTGTAGTTTGTACAGTTTAAAAACAGAAAGATTCCATTAGTGACAAAAGCAAAGGAAATCAGATTACACCGGTTTTTCTCAGTTTGGGAAGAGTGCTGCATACAGAGAGTAGCTACCGGTATTTGCGAACCTACTTATTCTCTATTTAAAAGTGGCTACTTGGCTAATCCATGGTGGTGGAAGCAATTTACTTTCTAGCTCTCAGACTATTTCAGAAACGTTGATGTGTTGGGGGATTCGTATTAGCAAGAGACTTCTTTCCTCTGAAGCCACATCACACAAACAGTAATCCCCAAGAAACGCCAGCCACCCAGCCCAGCCAAGGGGCTGCTTCCAAGATAGTGTCAACTGCCTGTTTCTTAAAGATGTTTGCAAGAAATACAAATGCCAGTTCGACATTTCCTGAGCCCTGGTTATTTACCAGACTAGAATCCTCTCTGGGAAGTATTTAATCCTGCATCAAATACAGAAAGGCAAACCATTGGCTTCAAGAGAGTGAGAGTTCATTGTAAAGGCAAGCGGGTGCTCCAGAAAGGACCCAGAACTCGGGGAAGGGGGAGACCTGGTCACCGTGGTTACAGGAACAGCCCTGGTAACTTGCCAGTCCACTCCAGTGCTGGAGGCAATTTAACGACTGGAGGAGAACCTTCTCAGTGCGCTTGGCGCATGTGCAAACTTCACTCCTTCAGAGGAGGGGCTGTGAAGATGAGTGCCAAGGATCACAGCCGCACCAGGTTCACATGGCACTTGGTACCGAGCTGCCGGGAAGGCCACAGCACCCAAGCGTGCTCCTTACTCAGAGACCCAGGACCCCAGCTGGGGGACTGTGGACTCAGGGCTCCCCCTCCCCTTCTTCCTGAGAGATGCCCAGCACCGACTTGTGGGGGATTTTGCACTCCTGCAGAGATCTGGTGAGGTCAGAGAAACGTCTCCTGGGCACCCCCATCACTGCAATGCTGCAGGGCTGGTAACTGGCCTGGTTCTGGTGTTCGGCCACGGCTACGACGGTCTGTAAGGCGTCGGTGGGCCGGAAATGGTGAACGAACCTTCGGCCCGATGGCGATCTGACGGCCAGCAGAAGCCTCGGCTCTCGATCTGATGGCTCCTCCACGTCCCCAGCCCCGGGGGAGGTCTGTCTGCTGGTCTGGACGATGACTTTCCTCTCTGGGGAATAAACAGGAGCTCTGGAATCTTCTTCACTTGTCTTCACGGTGACAGTCTCCTCTTGGTCAAGAGCCTGGATGCTGCCCAGCTGCAGGGAGCCGACCTTTTTAGCTACTGTTTCCACAGACCCCTCCTCCAGGGTCTTCCTGTTGATGGAAGGGAGGACTGGGTATTTATTGAGGGAAGAGGATGCGCCAGCCAGCCCCTGTTGCAGCAGCTCGGGGATCTCATCGGGAGCTCCCGGGTTTGGAGACTTGGGTGCACAGGCTCCCGGTCTCTGGCTGCTTGGCAACTCGCAGGGGATGGCTGGAGGCAGGGAGGCTGGCGCACGGTGAGGGCACAGCTCTGCGCCCTGTGGTCTGTGCAGACTGGGCCGCGTCCGTCCCTTGGCGGACTTGGGCCTGAGGACGTGCATGTTGGCCGAGTCTGGCTGCCAGATGAAGCTGTCAGCTGTCGAGCTGCCGACGGTGCTGCGTTCAGGAGGGGCTAGGTTCACAGGGGCTTCTGTGGCCATTGCTTCTGCAGACCCCTAAGGAAGCAGGAGAGAAGAGAAGCCGTGGGTTACACTTCCCAGGACTCCTGCCTCCAAGCCATTCACCCCCAGGGGCCGGAATTAGTGCCAACTGGCCAGGAGGGCTTCTCTCTGGATTTCGGGCATCGGGGGAGGGGCACCGGCTGCCATTCATTCCTTCGCTCTATCAGTCATTCCAATCACTTGGAAAAATCAGTGAACCAAGAGTGAGGGAAGACAGGTGTCGAGCCCACCAGTAAAGAGGTATTTTCAATGAGTAATAATTGAAGTGAAATAAACAAAGTAGGCACCAGAGAGTGACTGGTGGGTGGGGGGGGAGACAAATTCTTATTCTCACCGGGGTAGGGGATACTTTAAGCTGAGAGACCAGAGGGATGAGAAGCAACAAGCCTTGTCACAATCCAGAGCGGGGCCTGGCTAATTTTTTCTGAACATGTTTTCAGTATTTGGGGGCCACGTGATCTCTCTTCCAACGATTCAACCCTGCCCTCAAAGCCACTGACCCGTTTTCCCTCTCTCCCCTAGGCCTTTCCTAACTCTCCCTTTCTACCCACAGTTTGACCTTCCTTCCTTTTCCTTCCTCTTTTCATTCAGCTTTGCTGCCCTTTTAGTTACTATTAACAGTAACAGTAATCCCCAAGGTGTCTCTGCACAAATCACTTAATGTCAAAAATCCCTCCACCGCCCTAACTTTGTCACCAGGGGGGTGGGGAAGGGGAGAGGGGGCACCCTTGCTGATCTCGGCCCATTGGCCAGAACTCACAGGGAGGTACACAGGTTCTAGACCAGGGGCCAGCAAGCCTTTTCTGTAAATGGCCAGATAGCCAATATTTTCAGTTTTGCCGGCCTCGGGGTCAGTGGCAACTCTACAACTCTGCCCTTGGGGTGTGACAGCCGCCACAGACAGCAGGTAAATAAACGGGTGAGGCTATGTGCCAATAAAGCTTCGTTTATGGACACTGACCTTTGAATTTCATATCATTTACATGTGGCACAAAGGATTCCTTTTCTTTCTATTTTTTTCCCCAACCATTTAAAAGTATAAAGCCTATTCTTAGCCCACAAGCCACACAAAACTGGCAGTGGGCCATCGTGTACCAAACCGTGTCTTAGACCCACTCCACAGGGGACTCTGCGCACGCGCTAATCCTACAGATGTAGGAGCCAGAGGGTGAGAGCAACTGCCCCCTGGTCACAAAGCCAGTTATTGGCAGAGCCTGAACTAGAACCCAGGTCTTGTGACACCCGGCCATGTTCTGGAGGACCAGGCTTCGCCTTCCGTCTTCCCAGCTACCTGGTGAACACTCTGAGGGCTTCTGTATGTGCGTCTCCCGCTGGGGGTGCTCATGCATGCTAGCCAAATCCCACAGAAGCCCCGTGTTCCCAAGGTCGGTAGGAGGCGTGGGCATTCCTCTGTGCAGGCCCGAATTGCCAGATCGGGTCTCTTTCTCCCCTCCTCACCATCTAGGTGGCCCCTTCATTAACCCGATTACCACCACCTCCCCCTTCCACGCCCTGCTTACATCCTTCCCTGGACACTGTGGGGCGTCTAGGGCTCCTGTCCTCCCTTGGAATCCTGACCATCACTGCACAAGCTGACCAGGTGTCTCCCCACCCTCTAAAGGCCTTCTGGTAATTTCCCAGTGCCCCATGGTCCCCAAGCAGCAGCATGTCTGAGTGCAAAGGAACCAGGACCTGATGTCCTAAGTCCGGGGTTCTATTGCAGGCTCTGCCGAGAGTTAGCTGAGCCACCGTGGGACCGCCATTCTACCTTTCTGATACATCTCTTTCCTCATCTATAGAATTAGCCATATGGCCTTGAAAACATTATTTAAATACCTCCCAGGTCAGTCCCTTTATCTGCAGCAGGAAGACAGTAATACAAAATCATGGAACCACGGCTGTAAGCCCCGGGCTCGGTGCATGTGTAGTCAAGGCTTAAGAAGAGTTAAGGTTCTTTTGCTTTTGTGTCTGGTTTTCTGTTTGCTTAGTGTTTTCTATTATTTTAGGTCCAAAAGCCCTACCTGTTGCTGCAGAGCTTTTTCCCCAGGGGGCCTTAGGTGGTTCTGCTCCTAGTCACCTCTAACCAGCCAGGCAAATCCTGGGACCCGTGCGTGCCCCGCCCACTGCACAGGAACGCGGGAAGGTTGATTTCAGCGAGCTACTGCCTATGAACTTGCCTCGAAAATGCAGAATAATGCTTTTTCTAAGAAATGCCTTCTAATGCCCCACTTTAATTGCATCTTAACCTCAAACCAACTTACTCCAAGCTACCTTCGTCACACAATCCTGAGCAATGCAATTCCAGCCCTGTAGCTTTGCATTCTAACATTATTGTTCTGTGCCTCTTATCCATGTTGCCAAATTTTCGAAAGTATCCCACTCCTCTCCATTGAAACCATACCCAAACAAAACACAGTCTTCCCCTACGTTCCCAAGGCACTAGCCAGTTCGAAAGCTACCCTCCCTTTCTTAACTTAAAGGCCTCTATGTTTGCTCCATTCCGTCCACAGACTGGGTCTTTCCACACTCCCATCTTCCACTTCTCACTAGGTTTTCACACCCAGTCTGGCTGCTGGGAGTTCAGGAACCTTCTCCTTGGCATGAAAAAATGCCGGCCCGTCTCCTTGTTAATTTAATCTATTTTCTGATCAACTGTGAAGAATGTGGTTTTTCCGCTGTTGGCTTAGTTCTAAAGTCTTTCATTTGTAATTAAGCAGCTCTGCACTTTAACTCAGGATGACACGAGAAGGTCATAATTGTCCAACTGTTCTGCCAAAGATAAGTTCAATTCGGGAACGAGCTCCCCTTCTCGGCGCCCCCCCCCCCCTCCAGGAATGGCTATTAATTTGCCACAGCTTCTACAGAATTATCACAAACTTGGCTTCTAACTCCCACACATGCCTCGGGAAGGTTTAACTGTCAGTAAGTTTGGTAACTTAGAAACCTCTTCCTTAACAACTTTGATGAGGAAAGTCATGTGTTCTCGAAGGCTCTCTGCTGGATTATTTTTAACAGTAAAACTTGAGTATGTGCATGCACTTTCTATACCTTTTGGTACTATATAATTATCCATGTTCAGGGGGTGTCATATTCAAGACACCCTGGTCATAAGATAACATGACTGCGAGCTATCTCAGAGAAAAAAACCTCAATTATGACTAATTCCTATAAGCCCACTCATGGCTATTTAGAGATTAACACCTCCTTCAGGTAAAACCGTTCCATCGAACCTGCTTTCATAACCCACTGCCTCCTCCTGAGTGCAGGGACCATCTGTTACACAGAGGGAGCACCAACTCTCCCCAGCATCTATTCCATAGAGAGGGGAAGCTGGGGGGGAACAGGTGTTTGGGGACCTGGGCCAACCATGCCTTTGTACCCACACCTTGGGTCCCGAACTCTGCCCACCCCCCTGGGTCCAGGAAGGCTTGGGCAGTGCCCATCATTAGCCCCGCTCAGCTCATTTCCCCACCTCCGGCCTGGCAGCCACGAAACCACAAAGTGATTTGACAAGATCTAGGTGTAGGCATCCATCAAGCCGTCAGCTGAATAGGCAAGTGGCCTGTTTACTTAAACAGAATAGCTGCACCCCAGAGGCCTGCCAGGAGTCGGGAAACAAACATTCTTCGTAACTGTTTCCAGGGAACTGCCAAAAGGTGCCCATTGCTTAAGATGAATTGCCAAATCAACTGGAAACGAAGAACATTGGACAGGAAAGGCTGAGGCCATATTCCTGCTTTCCAAAGGAGCCCACCTCTCAGCACAGGGTCAGACCACCCCATTTCACTCACAACCCAAATCTAAACCCACAGCAAATGCAGTAAAATACACCCACCCACATACCATCTGCTGATACATACCGAGGATGCATACATTTGAATTGGTCTTTTAAAAATGTTTATCAGTTAATACTATCCCCTGCCAACAACCCCCCCCACCCCAATCCGCCCCCTGTGAGGCTTTCAAGATGAAAGCACTCAGAGGAATCAACAGGAGATGGTAGTTGGCCTGAGCAGGAGAAAACTTTGGTACCATTCCCAGTTCTACCCCCGACTAAATGATTAGAATGCACTGTCCCACGCAGAGTGCCACGTTTAAAAGGGGGAGTGGAGAAATTGGACCACAAGCCACCAAGTGATCAAAGGTTTGGAAAAGGCAGTGGGGATGGTTGCAAGAGCAACGTGGGGGAGGGGGGAGGTGGAGGAGGAGAGCTCAATTATTTCCAAGTACGGACAGCTCCAAAAGGAAGGAGCTGAGCTGGAACAGCGGAAGCAGGCATTTGGGGGAGGGGCAAGAAAGAACGCCTGGAAAGTGAGAGGTGCCTGGGGGAAAGAGCATGGGTCTGGGGGAGGCTCTGATCCGGTTCCGGTCTCTCCGTGTGCAGGACGTCCTTTGGGCCCTGTGGGTCTGTCCGTGTCCCCCGTCCGCACTGCCCTGCCAGGAGGGTATGGCCCGGCGGTTTCCCAGGCCCCTCGGCTTCCGCGGAGCCCGGGAGCTGTCCCATTCCGGCAACGGTGAGCTGGGCCGGGCTGGCTTTGCCCCGGGAGTTGCCGCTTCTCCCCGGGCCCCGTCCTGTCCCCCGGGGGCGCCACCGGGGCCGAGGCCGGGGAGCCCCCGCCGCGTCCCCAGGCGGCAGGGCGCGCTCACCTGGGCCGCTGCTCCATCCGCCGCCGGCGCCCGGCTCCGTCCCGCTGGTAAACAGCCCGCGTCTCCGGGGCAACGCGCCGGAGGGGGCCACGTGCTTCTGGTCGGTGGGGCCCGGGGGCGCGCGGGTGGGGGGCCTTCTGGCTCCTCTCCCGGGGCCGGGCTGGGGAGCACCGTGGGCTGTGACCTGGGGGCAGGCCCCGGCCCGCTCAGTGACCCCGGTTTGGGGAGAAGCTGCTGGACTGACTGATTTCTGGGCTCCCTCCAGGCTCAGTGGCTGCTTTTAGGGCTTGTGTTGAGTTGGGGCCTCTCGTCCTTGTCTGTTCTCAGTGCAAGCCTTCAACACCGAGTCCGTGACCTCCCTTCCACATCAGCCCCCCACTCCCGGCCGCTGCTGGACCCTTGATATCAACTACATCTGCCCTGCTTTGCCCCTCTTAACCATGACCCCTCTACTTCCAGCAACCCCAGTCACCTCTACCCCATTTGTCTTTCGCAGCCCATTGCCCTCTGCGCTTTCTTGCCGCCCACCAGCCTGCTTCTTCCCTGCCCTGTCCAGCCCACGGTCCTTTACCCAGGCCATTCCCTTGCGAGAATCCCCCATGCCCTTGTCCTGCTACCTCTCCCTCCCTCCCACCTGATGAAACTCCATCAGTCTACCTACACCCAGGGGCTGAAGACACCTTGACCAGCCACAGACTTCAGCGTAATTTGCGGAAAGGTGTGGTCTCCAACGTCTCCTGGACTCTTAACCCCACGCAGAAATCCTTCCACTCCCCCTCCCCCCGCCCCCGCCCGTTTAGTTCTGTCTCTTCTCTCCTTCGTGGTTATTTCAAACCTTGTCCTCTCTCCTGAAACCTCTCCCCTCTCCCCTCTCCCCTGCCCCTCCTCCCACGCAGAAGAATCCTCACCTCCCTCTTCAGAGAGAAAGGAGAAACCATCCTATGGAAGCCTTGTTAGTGTTCTGCCATCAGACTACACATTTGCCTGCTTTCCTCCGTCCCTCCTGCTCGAATGGGAGGGTACACGTCCTCTGACTCTGTCCAAGACCTACTGCTCTTCCAAACGGCCCCGAAGCCAGTTGCCTGCCACAGGGCCACACACATACACTCCAGACCTTTGCTCCTGCTGTTCCCGATGCCTGGAAGATTCTTCTTCACCTTCCCCAAACTCTGCCTCCTCCCTTCCTTTGCGTAATGCCCACTTACCCTTCAGATCCCAACTTGATGAATGAAGACTTTCTTCCAAAATGAAATTAAGATAGCTTCAGAAGGAGCCCTTACTGGACTATTATTGTCTGCCAGGCACGGTTCTAGACTCTTAGAATGTGCAGATGGAAGATAATGTTAGTAGATATCCAAGACCAAATTATCAGAGGAAAGAATTAGGATTCATTACCTAGCATTGCGGCCAGATATCTGCTATCTTGTGTATCCCGGACACATGGACACAGGATTGCAATAGGGCATGACTCCATCCGCCAGACAAGATGGTCACAGTTTAGTTGAGGAGGTGTGTCACACGTCCCTAAAGAGTTACAAATGAGATTGTTTTCAATACAGTTTGAGCCAAGAATGGAAGAGCAGGTGCAGGCTGGACGTGGTTATGTGCCACGTGACTGACACTGATAAGAAGGTCTTCGGGCCCCGGGAGGAGGGGATCATTTCGGCAGCGATGTTTCTTCCTGTGTCAGCGAAGCTGCACCTGACCTGTGGGAGCTGCTGCTGGGCACGCCTCCTGCTAGGGTCACCCCCCTGACCCACCCTGGGCATCTGGGGTGGCATCTGAGGCCCCAAGAGGGTGCAGGAGGTGATGGTTTTAGGAGCTGTTGGCTTTGCAGCTCTGTGCTGGTGGTGGCTTATTTCTTGTAAATGATTCTGTCAGAAATATCTAAGCAATGCTCTTCAGGCCTTCGACGCCCACCCAAAAAAGATTAAAGTAGATTCTTCATCAGCTATTTTAATAGCACCTAAGAATTATGCAATCTTTTGGAAAATCAAATTGGCTTCTCCCCCTGCCCCCCGCTGTGTGTGTGTGTGTATATGTGTGTGTCCCCACGTGGGCATGCACTGAAATGGTGCTTATGCCTAGGGTCTGTTTAATATTCAGCAGCAGGTGCCCTTTGCTCCCTGGTGTCAAGTAACGTGCAGTGTGGGGGGGGGAGGCTGGAGGGAAGGAGCCAACCAGCCAATTGCTGTGCCTTCCTGCTCTTTAAAGAGAGAGGTGACTTTGCTACATTTGTCTCCCCTCTTTCTTTAAAGAGCATGTCTTCAAAGGACGAACCTTATAATGCCCCGTCTCGGGCACACGCGCAAAATGGATTCTCAGTAAACATGGCCAGAGGTGCCTGCCTTGCCAGGTTAAATGTGGACTCACCCTCCTTTCCAGCCATGGTTCCCTTACTCCCTGGCTTTCTCCATGGGGTCCAGCCAGCTTGGTCCCCAAATGGGCCTTCAGTCTTTTCATCTTCAGGGTCTTTGCTCATGCCTGCCCTACCCTGCTTCCTTCCTTGAAGTCAATCCAAATTTACTGATCCTTCAAGGCCGCTGTTAAAAAGTCACCTCTTTCATGGAGGCCTTTCCTGACCACCTCCTCCCCACCCCCAAGCCTCATGGGCTTTTGCTGATCCCTTTTGGTCCAGTGGAATGTGCCCAAGATGGCAACATGCACCCTCACCAGGTCAGTTCCTCTGATCTTCAGGGCTGTCTCCCAGAAAGGCATCATTGGCCTTCTTTGCCCAAAAAAACCAACTGACCCTCAGGGTCCTTCAAATTCTTGAGTGGCAGAGCAGTTCCAGAACCCCAGTCTGTCTGATTCCACCCCATACTCCAGAGCCCACCCCCACCCTGACACTCCTACGTGGCGCCTTTACCTGTACCCGCCTATTGTGCTGGTTGTGAGGTGGTAGGCATGGCCCCTGGAGTCCAGGCTTGAGTTCGAATCCCGGCTCCACTACTTGCTAGCTGCAGACCTTGGGTAGCTGATTTCACTTCCCTGCCCCTTGCTTTCTACCTCTATAGAATGTAGGTGGTTAAGAATGGGAGTGTGGCGGGGGTGAAATCAGACGCTACCATCCATAAAAGGTAGAGGTCTTAGCACAGTGCCGGGCACATGGTGAATGCTTGGTGAGCGTTAGTGCTCATTATCGTGTTGGTTTCATCCTCCCGTGTGCCTCTCCTTCAGCTCCTCCTGAGCTCCTCTAGGCTAGGAACGTGCCTGTGTCTGAGTCCCCTGCTTTGCCCACACAGTGCCTGCTTCACAGTAGGCGCTCAGCAAATGAAAGTTAAATGAATTAAGAGACAATGCTGATTCCACAGCTGGCTTTTCCACCGAGGGACCCGGCTGGCTGCCACTTGGTATCCCCCAAGGATATCTGGTTTGAAGTCTAAATGACCTCCCCCAGGGTTGGGCTGAAGGCAAAAGCTTCAGTGTCTCAGCAGCTTGTCCCCAAAGAGCAGCTGGCCTCTTTTTGAACTAGCAGCTTCCAGATTTTGGAGTCTATACCCAGTGTATTATTCTGCCCTCGATCCCATTAGACGTGTTGATTGAGACCCTAGATAATGTTCAAGCAGAACGGGGACCGGGTGCATGCTCTGGTAGAGAGGCCAAGAGGCTGGCACAGTTACTATGCATCCTGTTGCCTCAGCTTCCCAAGAGGCCCTGCAAGAGGGAAGTTTCTAGATAACGAAATCTACCTCTTGAAGGACAGCAGGTTTCTATTGTTTCCCCATATTGTTGGAAAACATCCATAAATGTCGTGCCTCCTTCCCCGTCTTCTTAAGCAGAACATAGAAAACATGGTACCTCACCTTGGCTACAGTTGATCAAGTGCTTTCGACCTCAGGAACTTGTTGAATCTTGCTGGCAATCCGTGGGGGGTCAGGCTCATTGTCTCCACCTCACAGGTGATGAAGCGAAGGCTCAGGGACCTTAAATGGCTCTCCCAGGAGGTGGTGGTGCCCTGCTCCAACCCTCTTCTCTGACAGAGAATCTGGAGTTATTTGCCCTGCACCTTGGCAATCTCCTACACGATGCAGCCTTTTCTTGACGACTTGAAGTCAACGACCACTCCAGGCGCAACGGCGTTTTTGTAGCTAGAACCATCTGCCCCTATACTCAGTGGCCCCAGGTTCATAGGCTTGGTCTGTTACTATTTTCATCACTCCTGTGTCTCCCTTGCCTGCCTCCTAACAGCCTCCACGATAACTCCCTTCCTGTTCAACCGCTGCGTCTGAGAAAAGGAGGCTGACCCCTTGCTGGGATCGTGTCTCAAATAAGAGCGCTTGTGGGGGTACCTGGGTGGCTCAGTCGTTAAGCGTCTGCCTTCGGCTCAGGTCATGATCCCAGAGTCCTGGGTTCGAGCCCCGCATCGGGCTCCCTGCTCGGCGGGAAGCCTGCTTCTCCCTCTCCCGCTCCCCCTGCTTGTGTTCCTGCTCTTGCTATCTCTCTCTCTGTCAAATAAATAAATACAATCTTTAAGAGCGCTTGTGGCATCTGATCAGATGCTCGGGCCATTTTGGTTTTGTTTTCTTAGCGGTGTTTTGGATAGGTAGAGCTCCCGGCGCAATGCCCCGCAGGGAAGCAGGAGAACAGCTCAGGGTTCGGGATGCCTCCTTTGGCGCCCACACACCTGGGGCGAGTCCTGGCTCCGTCACTTTGCAGGGCAAAATACCCAATCCCCGCCAGGCTCTGTTCTCCCATCTAGAAACTGGGGTTGATCATCTAGGCCACATGGGGACTATTGGAAGAGGACTTAGGGAGATAATCCACAAACCCTGCTTAGCCCATGCTGGCCCTCGGTAGCGTATATTTTTGTCTCTATTTCTGTAACTCGAAACATGATCGGACTCTGATCATTCATGCATTCCTTCATTCATTCCTCAGATATGTATTTATTTCCCATCTCTCCGTGCCTGGCTTTCTTATCTGCACAATGAGGGTGATAGCAGTACTTCTCCAGCCGGGAGCCGTGGGGACTCACTGTGAGGTGCTCAGAAGCCTCGCAGGGTGTAGAAATGTGACACGCCACCAGTACGAGTGTGTGTCAGGCCCTGCATGTGCCGGTAGGCACTGGGAATAAAGAGGTGAACGAAATAGCGTGATCTTTGACCTACGGAGCTCACGGGTTCTTCCCTCCTTATTTACTCCGCGGGGACAAAAGCCAAGCAACGTTTCAGCGTTGTCTGTGTCAGATGAATTGATGGGTCTGAGAGCATTGCTCGCAGAGACCTGCCAACCCGCCGCTGCCACGCTAGAAGCTGACCCTAGAGTCCATGCCATGCTCCCCACCTCCCCCTCCCCACGCTCTTGCCCTTCCTCACGTCCCTGGGCCGCCAGCCCTGTGATCTTGCTTTCAGTTCAGCACAATCCAAAGCACCCGCAAAGGATCAGTCAGAGGGGAGAACCGTGCCCGTCTTGCCTAAGTCATAGCCTTGAGGCCAGTGCCTGTGAAAATGCTCTGTCACCCTCGAAAAGCCACATGGGCAAGAGGTCTAGGCAGGGACCTGGTGAGGGGGAAAGAGCGCCGAATTTGGAGGTTGGGACCAGAGGTTATGTCCCGGTCCTGCCGCTTGGTAGCTGTGTGTCCCTTCTCTCTGAGCCTTGATTTCCTCAACTGCCAAACAAGAAAGTGATAGGCTCTACCTGTCCGGTTGTATGAGGAGCAAATAGGAGTGGAATACAAATTTAAGGTAATTCAAGGTCCCCTCAAACTCCTCCTTTTAGAGGTGAGTTCACTGCTTATCAGTCTACATGGGCTTAGATTGGCCTCCCTGGACACAGACTCTGAGACAGGAAGTGCATTCTCGGGAGGCTCCCAGGAGAGACACCTGTCGGGAAGTGAACAGAGCAAGATTGGAGAGAGGGAGAAGCTGACACACAGAGGGAGAAGCTGACAGAAAGGGAGAAGCTGGCACACAGAGGGAGAAGCTGACACACAGAAGGGGAAGCTGACACACAGAGGGAGAAGCTGACAGAGAGGGAGAAGCTGACACACAGAGGGAGAAGCTGGCACACAGAGGGAGAAACTGACACACAGAGGAAGAAGCTGACAGTGAGAAGCTGGCACACAGAGGGAGAAGCTGGCATGCAGAGGGAGAAGCTGACAGAGAGGGAGAAGCTGGCACACAGAAGGAGAAGCTG